AATACACATTACTAATCTATCTGAGAGAGTTTGGATGGTCTTTATGAGAGTTCTTCTTTCACGTTTTGAAACACAGTGGGCTCCACTTTACACGTGACGGGTTTAGGATTGGTTTTGGTGGTCACAATGGTTTATCACAGTTGTGRAAGCCCATACCGGGTCCTTTCGAGAAAAAAAAAAAACAATGTTTGATGAGATACTGTATGTAGAAAACTTCAAAACATTCTGGAAATTAGACTTCTATTGCAACTAAAAGGCTTCTAGATTAAATTGTAGATTTAGATAAGCGTTTCATTATTTTGGTCACTTTTTTCAAGCAGAAACACTAATATTKTAAACATTCACCTCTTTAAATGCAAGGACTTGTACATTTTGCCATAYTGTGTAACAATACTGGTTAGTTGCCTTGAGCTACAGACAACTTATTCATTTAGGTGAAATTAATTTACAAAAAATAGATTTTTTCCTGGTTTAACTCAAACAGGAGTTAATGTTGAAGAGATTAGTCAATTAAAACTATAAGTAGTTGCAAGTCTACAYGTATTAAATTAATTTTAAACATGTTAGACTCGCTTCAGCAGTCAATAAACTTATCAATGAACAACCTCAGATTTTTAACCTGCAACCCAGTCCCATGTTTAAGACTTGCTGTGGTTAGATCCTAATCTGGGTCAGGTCACAGGATGGGGTATTGTGCTGCTGGCTGTGTTGTGTCACAGCATCCCTACAGTTTTATTCAGCTCAACCTCCAACCAGCCATGTTTTATTAAGCTAAAACCACAATAAGACGTCTCAACGTTGATGGAAAAAGACATCKTTAGTTGTTTGGGGAAAACACCACGTCGTGGACTGATTTGTGCCACTGAACAGGCCAAACAGCTGCAAAGGCTAAGTTAGCCTGCTAACGTTAGCTCAAAGTTGGCATGCTGTGCCTCTTTTTCCCCCCACCCGGTCCAAAAGATGCCTGCCAGAACTGCACACTACCGATAAACAGTTTATGAGCATAATGGAGCTTTTATCTCCTTAATGTGTAATATAATCACATGAAAGTCTAAAGGGACACATTGTAATRAATTTTTGTTCAGACTCCTCCGGTAAATCCCATCATCATGGGTGTGGGTGGCTCAAAGACGTCTGGCTGAGGATAAAAGCAGGCGGACAATGACCCCGTCGTTTCACYCCTAAATAAACATATTTCACACATGTATGTAATATTTAAAACACCACGAAACAAATAGGATAAACGCTGTAAACATTAGCAGAGCAGAAAGTCTTCCACAAATAAAAAGTCACGGCACAAATAATCCGCTAGCTAACSATTCCTGCCTGCTAACCCGCTTTATCCCAGAAAACCCGGCCCGGGGACTTACCACGCGCTGTAGATGAATATACCCTGCTTTGGTGCTTTTACAGTCTTCAGAGCAAAAACAGAACCGGTCCGTTGCGATTCGTGCTAAAGAACTCCCTTCCTTGGCCCGTTCTCTCATCAGTGGTACTCCCCCCACCATCCAACACCCGCCCAACCGAACTCTTCTCTTCTCCCKGCCCGGGAGGAGGATGGATGCGCCACACACACACCACCGCCGCACTTCTTTTAAGAAACGCCCCCTCTGAGCGAGTCTCTGGTTGTGATTGGCTGTTTTATTCTAATGGCTGCTCGTGATTGGTCCAAAAAAGGAACAACATCTGAAAACTTTATTAGTTGAGAAGGGACGCACAAAACAACACCTGCATCTAACATTCTCGCGCATGACCAAATAAAATCAATTATTATTATTGTTTATTTTAACAGCATGCTTCTGAGAGACCAAATAAAAATCCACATGTTGCAATTTTTAGACATAAAAATGT